CCAACTGTGGAGGAGATCACGCTGCCTACCCATGATCATGCCCTACATAGAAAAAAGAGAAAGGAATAGTAGAACTTGAGGTAAAACTTAATCTGTCAATTTAAGTAGCATGTCAACGGTTTGTACTACACAACCAGTTTTTTCCCACCTTCGCGGACGTGGTGCGCCAGGGCGCCGCGCAACACTTTTCTGCAGCCCCAAATGTCACACAGAGTGTGGCCGCTGTAGTGCCACCAGCGCCCCCGGATGGCGCAGCCTGTACTGCTCCACCATCTGACAAACAGGGTTGGCAGACCCCTGTGTCTGCTGGACCGGAAAGATGCCATTGTGCCATCCGGTGGTGTTGCCATTATAGTCAATCAAGGGATTGCATGCACACACTTACCACTACAAACATTCCTTGAGGTGGTGGTTGTTCGAGCAGTTCTTTTAAATAAGCTCCTCACCATCTGCTCTATCTACATGCCTCCACAACACCATCTTGAAAAGCATGAATTCCAGTCCCTCATAGACGAACTTCCAGGACCCTACCTTGTCCTAGGGAACTTTAATGCGCATGGTAACCTCTGGGGGAACTCTCGCTGCGATGCGCGAGATCGCCTGATTCAACAGTTCCTTTTTTCTTCCCGTGGATGCTTTCTGTATCGAAAAGAGCCAACATATTACAGCATTGCTAACAATACGTACTCAACAATAGACATCAGTATAACATCTCCATCGCTCCTGTCTCTACTTAAATGGGAAGTCATTAATAATCCATACTGTAGTGACCATTTTCCTGTTGTTATCAGCACATCAATATTAAATACATGTCCTGCACAGGTTCCTGAATGGCTCACCGACAAAGCCGATTGGGAACAGTTTCAGAAAATGACTTCTATTTACTTGGACTGACATGGGGGCGTTAAGCATAGAGGACGCTGTGTGTTACTTTACAGCTTTCTTGGTTGATGCAGCAACGAAATGTATTCCATCAACATGTGGACCGTCAGGAAAACGACGAGTCCCATGGTGGAATAATTAGTACCATGATGCGCGTAAAAAACAAAATAAGGCATGGAAGTTGCTTAGAGACTCGCCTACAGCCGAGAATCTTGTAAACTTTAAGAACATCAAGTCGCAAGGAAGGAGGACGCGCCGACAGGCGAGAAGGGAAAGCTGGTGCAAATTTTTATCAGGATATAATTCATACGCAGATGAGGTGAGTCTGTAACATGGTTCGTAAGGTGGCAGGATGACAAGCACATTCACTTCCTCTAGTGAACACACAAGGGGAGAGTTTGGAAGACCAGGCTTACACTCGAGTGCACTTAGAACAGGTCTCCAGCTCATCACTATAGTGAAGGGTTCTGACGATACAAAACCAGAATATAAAAATAGTGATTAGAGAGCAAACCCACAACACACAAGGCTTACAATGAACCTTTCTGTTTGGCTGAACTACAAACCTCGCTTACCTGCTGCAATAAATCTACCCCAGGCCCGGACCGTGTGACATACGAAATATTGAAACACCTGCCCACTGAAACCCAGAAAGCTCTCTTCTCTCCCTGTATAATGCGATATAGTCTTCCGGTGAGCTACCCTCAGCCTGGAAGAAAGCTATCGTTATCCCAATTCTAAAACAAGGCAAGGACCCGTCCTGAGTTTCTAGCTACAGGCCAATAACGTTAACCAGCTGTCTTTGCAAGGTCTTTGAGAAAATGATTAACAGGCGCCTGATGCACTTCCTTGAAACTAATGGCCTGCTTGACCCATGCCAGTGCGGGTTTCGAGAGGCTAAGTCGACTTCTGACCACCTTGTTCGTATCGAGGCACAAATTTGCGACACTTTTGTTCATAAGCAATTTTTTCTTTCTGTGTTCTCGATGTGGAAAAAGCATATGACACTACATGACTCTTTGGCATATTGCGAGACCTGTCACATTTAGATGTGCAGGGTAGAATGCTGACAATCATAGAAAGCTACCGGTCTAACCGGACATTCCGTGTCCGAGTTGGCACTGTCTTATCTCGAATACTTGTCCAAGAAACAGGAGTGTCCCAAGGAGGTGTATTGAGCTGTACACTTTTCATGGTAAACTGAATTTCTTGCAGCTGTCTCTCCCACGTAATATTTTTTACTGCATATATGTCGATGATGTACAGATTGGTTTTAAATTGTGCAACATCTCAATGTGCCAATGTCGGGTTCAACTAGGGTTGAACAAGGTATCTCGATGGGCAGATGAGCATGGTCTTATACTCAACGCGCAAAAAAGCACTTGCATCTCATTCTGCCGGAAGAGGGGCCTCCATCCTGACTTCGACATTGACCTGCATGATCAACCTCCATCAGTGAAGACCGAACACAAGTTTGTTGCACTAATATTAGACACAAAACTAACTTTTATCCCACGCATCAAGTATTTCAAAGACAGGTGCTTAAAAACAATGAATATTTTGAAAGTGTTGTCAGGTACAACGTGGGGTAGTGACAGGAAATGTCTGATGAATGTATATAAAAGCCTCATACACACACACCTAGATTATGGTGCTATAATCTATCAGTCTGGGACACCATCAGCCTTGAAGATTTTCGACTCTGTCCACCATCTAGGCATTCGCCTTTCTACGGGTGCTTTTCGAACTAGCCCTGTGGAGAGCCTGTATGTAGATTCGAATGAATGGTCGCTCCACCTACAGAGATGTTACCTGTCTTTCTTTTGTACTTTCTGAAGGTGAAGGCAGACAAGAAACACCCCTCTCATTTCACAATTAATGATTTGTCTTTTTCTGGCTTGTTTGAGAACCGTCCTTCGTTAAGGCAGCCCTACTCGCTCCGTGCAAGGCGCCTGGCCGAAGAAACAGGTGTGCCTCTTTTCGAACACAGTTTGATGGCTCAAGCTGCATATCTGACACCGTGGCAGTGGCAGCTTATAGACTGCGATGTCTCTTTTGTGGAAGTCACAAAGCATGCACCACTTGCACACATACATACATACTTCCTAGAACTACAACATAAATACACATGCCTCGAGTTCTTTACCGATGTCTCAAAGTCCAACACTTCTGTGCCATATGCAGCGGTAGGCCAATACTTTTCCGGGGCTGGCGTTCTTCATCCTGATGCAAGCATTTTCACTGGAGAAGCTTATGCAATACTGGCGGTCCTTAAAACACACCAAACAGATAAAATTACAAAAGGCAGTAATATACACAGATTCCCTAAGTAAGGTTACAGCCTTGAAAACTCCTAAAAAACACAAAAATCCCATGCTGGTGTCCTTTACTCACTTCTGTGCACACTGTACACATCAAAACAGCATGTCGTCTGCTGGATGCCGGGGCATCGTGAGATACAAGGGAACGTTTTGGCGGACAAGCTGGCTGCTTCCGCCAATGATACCACTTCCTATGCATCAATACCAATCTCTGCACTTGACTCGAAACCTTTTATGAAACGAAAGCTTAGGGGGTATTGGCAGAGCAAGTGGGATAGACACACAGACAATAAACTTCATGCTATTAAGCCGCAACTAGGTAATCGGCCGCCACTATCAAAATCACGACACACAGAAATGACACTTACAAGGCTAAGAACTCGACAAACACACTCTACACATTCATATCTTCTGTCCACCGGCGATCCACCATTGTGAGAGATGTGGAGAACCACTTACAGTTCTCCACATTCTCGTCCAGTGCAATGAGTTAGATGCTCTAAGGGAAAGCTCTTTTTACTGCCCTACCGACAGCAGCTTCACTACATCCCTGGGATGCTCATCGGTAGGGATCCGCTTTTTAAACTGCAATCGCTTTTTACGTTTCTAAAAGATGTTCATAGCTTTCACTCCATATTTCGAGGTGATCCGTAGCACAACCTCTTCACCGAAGTCGTGGCTGCAGTGACTACATCTCCGTCATAGTTGTATTATCATGACATTTTGCCATCTACTTTCACTGCACATATTTCATGCCGCTGTCATGATTTTATTACTTCTATGTTTTTACCCACGTTAAGGCGAGCAATTTCAAGGTCACTTTACAGCATTGCATCATATCATTGTTCATATCTCTAGTATATTGAAATGGCGCTCTTTGGCCATCAATTGGCTTTTGTGCCATAAATCCACTCATTTTCGACTTATTTCGCATTCGACTCATTTCGCATTTGCTCCAGAAGGATTGGCATAGTGAATGTAGTTTTATGCTTCACAGAAAAGGTTGATGTTGCGGTTTCCTTGTGTACAGCTCCAAGCAAACAGTTAAGCACCAAACACCATAAGCAAAAAAAAAAAAAGTCCTGCTGGTGCATGTAGGATTATTTTCTCCTTGTCACAAAAGTTATGACCGTTGTACTTCTTCATTTAAATTTTATCACTTGTTACGAGCAGTTTTGGTCTAACATAACAGACAGGCCATTTGTTTTTTGCACCGGACGTGATCAGTATCGATTTTGCCTGCGAATTGCGATGGTGAGTATATCTATAATTACAAGAACTTCTGTGGCTTCTGAAAATACTGTGTGCCATAAATTGGCACCCGTTACAACTTTCTTATTTAAACTGCCCTCAAGTAATAATTCGGAAGCTGGTAGTTTTTTGCTGATTACTGTTGATGCCATTGTAGTTGCAGCAAAGTTTTTCCTTCTCGACACAAGTGCGTGTAACTTCTGGAGCGTGGCTGTCACAAAATTTTTATATTTAATGTGTATTGTTTTAAAAAATGCACCCTGCATAATACGTACGCTTTTATGTCCTGTTGGTTTCTTGATAGTGTATGATTGCACTTAAAATTTACTTAGTAGTCAGTGTACAGTGTACTTGTCCTGCTGGCATAGATGTGTTCCCACCAGGTGCACTGTTGACCATGTTAAAAACGAAGAATGCAGCTAGCATACTTTTGAGCTCATGCAGCCACATTCACTTAGTGAACGACTAATAAACTTGTTCGAGAACATGAAAGGGATGGTTGTTCAGACCAGTCGTTCTCAGTAACCTGCTGCCTCCTGTATTCAGGTTTGTGGTGACATCCACGGCCAGTTCTACGATCTGAAAGAGCTGTTCAAGGTTGGCGGAGATGTGCCTGATACAAACTACCTCTTCATGGGAGACTTTGTCGACCGAGGCTTCTATAGCGTCGAGACCTTCCTTCTACTCCTCGCACTTAAGGCAAGTGCTTTCAGCGAAGGGGCTTAATGCTGAGATTCTGCCCTCTCATTTAGAGATGTGCCCCACCTCAAAGCTCTTTCCAAAGGGACTTCTTTTTGGGTGTGTTGGTCCTTACATTGCTTGGGTACACTTAACTGTAGCACAAAACACATTTCACGAAAAGATGGGGGGAACAGAAGAGAAGAAAGTGAAGCGCTGAACTACCAGCTGTTTTAAATAACAGTCTGAGAAGCATACAGGAAAAACATTCCGCGCATGCTTGAACAGCCAGCACATGACGTGCAGCAACAGGGTCAAGACAACTGTTGATGCTTCACTTTCTTACCTTTTGTCACCCCCTTTTCACGAAATGTACTTCGCACAACAGTCAAGGGTGCCTAAGCATTCTAAACTCCTCTTCTTGTCTGCACCTAGTCTACGGCTGCAGGTGTCAGTAACATGTAGCATCTCCATGACGACTGATGGCAAGGTGCATTGTAATAGGAAAGTTGCTTGAGAAACTCCTGTCACAATGTAAGGTGTCTCAAATAGCTTAAGTTAGGACTGTGTATCCCTGTCGCCATGGTCACTTCGTTTTAAATTCTGAACTCGGTTTCTTTCAGAATGTGCACAGTGTATTGCACTCGTGAAACGAAACTGAAAAATTAAAATATTGGCTGCACCAGCTTGCACAATTTCTTTCATATATAGGTATGCTATAAAAAATGTAAAGGGTGTGCATGGTCTACACCACATAAGGCAGTAGTTTAAAAAAAATTGCAGCTGATGTCGATGCATTTCTGAAGCTCAGCACAGATACACTTAGACAAGTAAATTGTTGTTACGGCTATTCGCAGTCAGAGAGTCTAGACCGCACCAGTCCTTTGCGTGAAACACAAAAGGATGGTGAGAAGGCAAGTTATTTTTACAAGATGGCATTCAGCACTGCTTGCAGAGGATGTAAATAAACTTGAGTGAACCAGCACAGCATTATGTGTTACTGAAAATACTCATGTATGTGGAAGCACTGGTGGTGTGGAGTTGAAAAAATTTTTTCCACTTCTGGTGGCCTCAGCTATTGATTTTTTTTTCCTGAGCATTTATTAATTGGAATCGCTTCCAGGCTATCGGAAAATGTATTGATATTTTAATTTATTAATGGAAGTATAGCTCAACCTAATGTTCAGTTTTGCCTTCAGGGTCCTTTAGCATAATGCATTAATGGCAACGCAGTCATATCGCTACATTGTACATTTATGTTAATCAATCGGCAACTGTGGATGACACAGAAACGTCTTGTTCAACGTTGTGCTTGCCCTAACTTTATGTCATCAAATAGTGAATTATTCAGTGTTGTAGGCATTGGATGTACTTTATAGGGATGTTTAAGGCAAATAACCAATTATATCAGAGTAAAAACTCAATGTATGACATCTGGAACGGCTATATTATCAACAGCAGTGCCCAACTTACCAAGAAGTTAAGCTTAATTTACCATGCGGTGGGGCCCACAAGTGGGATAGTTTGTAAATGCCCGATGACGTCAGAGTGTCTGACTACAATTATTAACTAGTAATGAAGCTAGCTGCAATGAAAACAGAGAACCTTCCATGTAATAATGCTCCTTGTAACTTTCTGTTTGATTTATAAAGAAAAGAATTACCTGGTATTATTATGGGGAATGGCATAATAGTGTGAGTGTTCGAAATTCTGTTTTTGCCTGGTTATGCTGGATAGGTGTTGCTATCTAGCAGTGCTCAATTGAACCAAGCAAAACACGTCATTTGCCTGCAATCTCGAAGGCCATGGCAGAAAATTGTTCAATGGACGTTGTTACTGCTGTGGCCATGCAGTAAAAGCAGGCAACATTGGGCACGGCAACAGGGGCGTGAAACGAACAGTTTTCAAGCGGGAGATTTGAAGTGCGCTAACGCGATATGGACCACTGAAACGGGGTTTCATTTCAAGGATAAGCACTTCCTTGGCACAAAAGTAGCACTATGAGGTTTCTGAACCACTATTTCAGCAATCAACATTGCCTTAATATTTGCCTTTAGTGTCCCTCTAAGCATTTCACAGAAATTATTTTATGCCACTCTACTACCTTCAAAGGGGCTTTGAAACGGTTTTGATGATTTTGTACAAACACATTCAGCCAATAGACCAAGTCTTAAAGGGCCACTCACCAGGTTCAAAAAATTTGAGCTGACAAGCGCAATGCGTAGGTGGAGCGTTCACAATCACGTCTGCCAAGATTTGCAGCGCTATGCACCACGGAAACGTCTCAAATTTCAAGACACGCTGCTCCCACTTCCTTTCGCGGGCGCGCGCCTAGAGAATGAGGGCATGATGTGCGCGTATGAATGGCTCTACGTACACGGCAGTGCAGTGATGTTGGTCCTCTACGTAGATGACTGTCTGTACGTAGACGACTGAATTGGCCCAGTATCTGCATGTAATCTGCAAATGTCGTTGAAAGACGATAGCCTTGCATGTGGAGAGAGCGAACAATTTATTTTATGTTCTGCGCAAGAAAATCTGAGAATGGTATTTTAGAGGCACTGCGTTAGAGTGCCTCGAGCGTGCAGCGGAGGCGAACGAGTGCATCAAGTCACATCACACATGAGACATGAGCACCACCTGGCAGTGTTCTTGTAAACCGAAACACATGGCTCTGAGACGGGTGTGTGCGCCCGTATCAGAGGTGATAAGGTGCGGAACGAGAGGCGGCGGCTAGGTGACACCACCATCGCGTTTTAGCAAAGCGTTGGAACCGCTCACCTTTCTGTGCAAGCGTTCCATGGTCAGCGCAGTGTGATAAGCACTACGGTCCTTAAGATTACTTATGTATGCCTTTTCTAGTAAAAGATGCACATGCAAAATGTATACGTGTTGTTATGGTGCCCCAGACTTGCACAATAATTGCTTATTAACTGACAATTGCACAGGTATTCACGCTAATCCTTGAGCAACATTGGTGAGCGCTGCGGATGGAGTCGGCTGTTTCAAGTACCCGGTGCCGTTGAGAGTGGACGAACAGCCAAATGTACAGACTGACAGACAGATCAAAATTTGTGCGTCGAAGGTCCCCAAGAAAGACTATCGTATTAAAAAAAAAAGGCCGATCGCATGCTGGAGGTTTGGCTTTTTCGGGCACGTCATGCGCACGCGAGCTTTTGGCTGGATGCCGGAGACGGTAGGGAAAAGATTTGGCTTGCGAAGGCTATGCGGGCGAGCGGCAAAGGTTTCGAGCTCGTATGCCTTTTCTAGTAAAAGATGCACATGCAAAATGTATACGTGTTGTTATGGTGCCCCAGACTTGCACAATAATTGCTTATTAACTGACAATTGCACAGGTATTCACGCTAATCCTTGAGCAACATTGGTGAGCGCTGCGGATGGAGTCGGCTGTTTCAAGTACCCGGTGCCGTTGAGAGTGGACAAACAGCCAAATGTACAGACAGACAGATGAAAATTTGTGCGTCGAAGGTCCCCAAAAAAGACTATCGTCTTAAAAAAAACAAAACGCCGATCGCATGCTGGGGGGTTTGGCTTGTTCGGGCACTTCATGCGCACGTGAGCGTTTGGCTGGATGCTGGAGACGATAGGGAAAAGATTTGGCTTGCGAAGGCTACGTGGGCGAGCAACAAGGGTTTCGAGCTCGCCTCCTCTTATCCTTGTTTTGTGCCGCTTTAAAAAAAAAAAAACGGTTTTCTCAGCTTGTAATGAACCAATTGAAAAACTTTTTGTGCCATAATGCTCCTCCTCGAACACATGACTTCGAGGGTCTAACTTAAATTGGCTATGGGGCCTGGTGAGTGGCCCTTTAAGGATCATTCACAGACTGATTAAGTTCTTGTGCAAACTGTGTGATTTATTACAACACTTTAAAGCTTCCAATTGCTGCAAATCACTGTGGCTCAGCCAAACGTGTTTTCAACCGTCCATTCGCACTGCGACATCCACTGGAAGCATGATGTCACCCAAGTTTTCAGTTTCGTTATGTAAACGTGAACGTAATTAAAATGAAGTGTGACCAACAAAAATTCATATTGAGTTTACTATGACCAATAATTCAACTATGTTGGTGTGCGTTATGACAGGGAACATTTTTGTTAGGCTTGTGCATACAGTGGATTTTAGGTTCGAAGCAAATAGGGATTCTGGTAGTATAATTTCTAATCGAATTCGAATAGCATATATGACATCTGTTAAAAAATGGGCACATTTATCATAAGCTAATCTAAATATTTTTTTTAATTGAAACAAGGCCTCAATGCATTTTTTTTTTTTTTTTGTCGTTCAGAAAAAGTTTAAACAACTTTGAGTAGTCGCAGCATTTGACTTACAGTAGAATGCTAGTGATAACCTGTAAAATATATAGCATTTTAAAATTTATTACACTTAAAGCATATAAGCTGTCTTCTTAAGAAATGATGAATTTATTTCAGGCTAATATGCTCATTTAAAGCGGCCCTGCAACACTTTTTGAATGGATTCATCAAGGAAGCCTATTGCCTCACAAATTCACCACCGCAAAAATCTTTAGAATCCGTCTAGTACAAGTGTAGTTGCAAATATATGCGACAATTGCATTCTCTCTTGTGATCCAGACGTAAGTGCTGGAAGCTAATGGTGCATTCAGACAACAGACCGAATCCGGATGTGGCGGGACGGACGGCGCTTCACTTGACCTCACATCGGCGATTCCCCTCGTCTGCGCGGCTCGCGAATGGATGATTCCCAACCTGTTTCTCACATAGGGATTCTGGCAGGAGAAAGCCAATACTTCAGTGGATTAGCATGAGGTTTCTGGCAACCAGTACACTTTTCGTCTGCTCGCGGCATTTCCTCCATGGCTCGCAGACAGCTGCGTGACGAGTCGGCATCGTCTACGCTTGAGCATAGTTTACTTAGTTGGCAGGAGCTTTAGCACTCAGGTGATCAACTACGCATTAATCACTTTTGGTAGTTCGGGAAATGTCACCGCCATCGTTCGACACGTGAGATTCTTAGCCGCCATGGTGGGGAAATATTTGAACTTCTGCAACCGGCGACGTGCCGCTTGTAAAAAAGACGAGACGCATTCAAAAGTGCCACACTTGAGGGGGGGGGGGGGGGGGGGCAATGTAGTTGTAAGAACATTGTGCCACCAACTCCGTTGTATCCTGAAGAAATAACACTCCTCGTCCATTTCGCACAACGCGACGGCCATCGCAGCCAAGCGTCACTTCTTGTCGGCATCCATGTTGCCGAATATTCTCAAACGGTCTGCTGCCAGCGGGCGCAGGTGAGCAACGAGTCTGCGGTCAAGAGTGATCCGGCTGGTTTCTCGTAGGACACCATTCGTCGTGTGAATGCGCCTGCAGGTGGATTGTCCGCGGATTAGCCGTCCGCGTCCACAAAAGATTTGGATTCAATCCGTTGTTCGAATGCACCATAAAGAGGGGGTGATGGCATGGGGAAAGAAAATACGGCACGCACGCCTCGTGACTTAAGCACTCTTTTTTTTCTCTTCGGATACGTGGCTTTTTGTGTGATCGGGTGCACACCGTGCTCAAATACGCAAATGTCTAATACAATGGCTGTGACGAGGAATTTCTGAGCTTGGCATCATTTGCTGAGAGAAGAGAGCAATATTTAGTTCACTCTCAGAATTTATTGTGTATTTCAGGCCTGGTGCTGCGCTGTAATATTTGGCTCATGTGTTCTTGGGAGCCTCAACTACCAATCAGCTGTGTTTTCTGACAATGCTCTAAAAGTGTTGCAGAGTCTTTTTAAATTTGAAGTGGGGCTTCTCAGCAGAGTGTATTTCCCCTGCATGGGTGCTTTCACGGTTAAGCACTCATACACTGCAATGAAACCACTTTTACAGGTGATTACATGCGGAACAATATACACTTATTCGTTAATTGCGAATACTTCTAAATTATCGATAATTTAAATTTGAATTGAAGCGAATTTGAATATTTGCACAGGCCTAATTTTTGTGGGTAAGTATATTAATAATAAGACTGCACTGTTGGCAGACTACTGAGAAAGAGGGTACCATAATGCTTGCATGTGCTGAGTAGGGCATCTGTGGCTTTATTTCATGTCTCATGCTTGTCCATTCGCAGGTGCGCTACCCAGACCGCATCACACTGATTCGGGGCAACCACGAGAGTCGACAAATCACACAGGTGTACGGCTTCTACGATGAGTGCCTGCGCAAGTATGGCTCTATCACCGTCTGGCGCTACTGCACGGAGATCTTCGACTACCTTTCCCTGTCTGCTGTTATTGATGGCAAGGTACTTATTACGCTGTCACTAATGGCGGCGAAAAAAAAAAGCTCATCTAAAGAAGAAAACCAGCAAGCAAGTGGTACTTCGGTGTTCATAACAGGACAGACATGTATCTAAGTGTGAGACTCCTACTCCACAAGTTTGGAAGATGCTTAGGCTGAGCATTTAATAGGAAAACGCAATGTTGTGTTGGAACTTGTTTGGATCACTTGTCATTCTCTTGCCTTTCTTCGCCTCTTGGTAGACATCTCTAGTGTGCCATGTAAAAAGGTGTGATTGCTTGCATGACATTTGCATTAAATATCCGGTGGCAGATCCTCTACAGTCACACTCTTCATGAGGTGTATGCAGGCTTGCATTCGCAAAAGACCTTGAAAGCGATTCTTGCGAAGCATGTGGCTCAGCAATGCAGCATGCTCAGTCACTGGGATCCACGTAAAAGTTTTTGTGAAATGCGTAGGAAAAATGTAGTTATAATTTGCTCTTTGAAACCATCTGTTCCTTTTTTTCCTTGGTCAATCCACCATTTATTGACATCCACGGAATACATTCACGACCTAAAAATATTGATAATGGCAACTGTTGCCCCCTTCATGTCGCAGTTACTCAGTGTACGTCATTTTTACCACTTTTCGTGCTTTGTGACTTCGTTCTCACAAAAATAATGCAAGATGTTTTTACAGATGTAAGCTAGAGCATGTGCTGGGGTTTAATTCCTGAAGAGTTCAACGAAAAATGAAGATGGCTTTTTTTTTTTAAGTGGTCTTCCTAATATTGCATTTTCAGAGACATGTCCTCAGTTATATGTTTCTGCTTAACATTTGATGTCACTCTCAGCAATCACATTCTGCAAGTTTGTTAACCTAACATGTGGCAATACTCTCGAAATTTTTGGGAAGTCTGACATTTGTACGTGACGTGTGGAGGAAAAAAATCTAAAACTTAAGCAATACAGTCGAGCCCGCTTATAACGAACCCGAGTGTGACGCGGCATCCGTTCGCTGTATCCCGAAGTTCGTAGTAAATGAAACACAGCTTTTAAAAAAAGTTGTGAGTGAAAACACAAACTTTTTTTGCCCCAAAAAGTCCTTCATGCACATGTTTCGAAGAACAAAAGCGATAGGGGTGGTCTCGAGTTCCATTGAAAACGGCAGGGCGCTCGTTCGCCGAAGCCCGTGGCATAGACTGTATGAGGCAATGGCTCCAAAGTTTCGTCGTTCTCGCAATCCGATTCCTCCAAATCGCTCTCGTCACGTACTTCATTTACAATGCCCCAATCTGTGCACGGTTCCACAGTGTCTGCATCATCATCGGCCGTAATTAAACCATCGCAACAGATGTCCCACCCGCTCTCCCAGGTCGGAGTCGACGACGCGCTACCACAAATCACCGCCGCAGTTGGAAGCTTCAGGCTTGGCATCAGGCCCCACGTCGACGAAGTCAGCCTTGCAAAAACAGTATCACGCGCATGTAGTCATCACCGCCGCCCATGATATATTCACCATCTCCACAGCTGAATACAGGGATTCCCAAAGCAGCAAGTTGGCTGCCAGGTGGTTAACAGCTATGAGCAAGCGCTCCACAATGCGGCACCTAACGCGCTGATTACGCTCAAGCCAAGCGGTCACACTTTCGACGTTTTGTTGAGCGGTTGAAGAAACGTGCTAGTCCTCCCATCGGCCATCATGACCACACACGCACACCAAGAATGAGCAAGACGCACACACACAACACACATGCCAGAGCGCGTGGAACAGCTCTGGGCCCGTTTCCAGTCAAAAAAACAAAACTAATTCGAGCCAGCGTGGCGGGCGTCTCGGAGCGGTGGAGACGGGCGAAGGGGTTGTGATCAAGAGAGGTGAGCAGACTTGTGAGAGAAGGGCAAGGAGTTGCGATAAAGAGAGGGGGGGACTGTATTGAGCTGTGTGCCGATTTCGGAGAAAGAAGAGGATCAGAACTTCAAAGTAATGGCGTTTTATCAAAGAAAACTATTCTTAGTATGTGGCCTAAAGTTTTCAGACCTACAGCTACAGCAGTGTTGTTGCGGAATCTCATCGAAATCTCATTTTCGCGAAATTCGAAAGAAGCGGTTGCAGCTCAGTGGACATTTTTGAACATTTTTAAGAAGGTTCAATTTTTTGCGCTGAAACCAAAAGTGGCTTTGCGGTGCTGGGAACTCTGGAAAACAAAATATATTTTTTCTGGCGAAATTAAAGGGGGTCGGCGGACATGCACAGATGTTCTCATCTGAACACGGTTTACATCTATTCGTTCATTTTTAATACTTCAAACCCGCCACGGTGGCGAAGTAGTTATGGTACTCAGGTACAGACCTTGAATTGAATCGCAGCCGCATTTTCCATGAAGGCGAAAATGCCTGAGACTTGTGTGCTTAGATTTAGGTGCACATTAGAGAATCCCTGGTGGTCAAAATTTCCTAAGCCTTACACTGAGGCGTCTCATAATTATATTGTGGTTATGGGGCGTTAAACCCAAGAATTTATCATTAATATACTTCAAAAGTTCTTTTAACTTTTTGTTTGATTCAAAGGAAACTGGAATAAGCGCTTGAATATTCGCACAAGCCTAACTATAATGTTTGGCTCATGTGTTCTGCCCCGCCGCGGTGGTCTAGTGGCTAAGGTACTCGGCTGCTGACCCGCAGGTCGCGGGTTCATATCCCGGCTGCGGCGGCTGCATTTCCGATGGAGGCGGAAATGTCGTAGGCCCGTGTGCTCAGGTTTGGGTGCACGTTAAAGAACCCCAGGTGGTCAAAATTTTCGGAGCCCTCCACTACGGCGTCTCTCATAATCATATAGTGGTTTTGGGACGTTAAACCCCACAAATCAATCAATCAATGGCTCATGTGTTCTCCTTTTTAGTGTGAAGTTTAAAAAATGTTATGAAATAATGGTTTGTTCATAATTAATTTGGTTACTAATTATGCTTTATTGAAAAGTACAAGTGCAATTTTTTTCATTTTTGGAGCGACTACGTTTATATTGTGTAAAGCAGTTGGTTATGCTGAAAATAAATTGTTTGGCCCCGAAAAGGTTAAGTGCGAAGGCCTTGGTGGCACCATCAATATCTGTATCTATGGCAAGCTAGTGCTGGAACTTCAAGGTGGGGTCCGCCAACGGTGTTTTCATACATCTCACAGCTAGAGTATTTCTTGTGTTGTGTGCAGGTAATTTACAAATATCAATGTAATCTTATCTGTCTTTGGTGCCCCTTTAAGTACACTCGGCAGCTTCTTTTTTAACCTTTTGCGATTCTGACATGCACAGATCTTCTGCGTTCACGGGGGCCTGTCGCCATCCATTCAAACCCTGGACCAGATTCGCACCATTGACCGCAAGCAGGAAGTGCCTCATGATGGCCCCATGTGCGATCTGCTCTGGTCAGACCCTGAAGGTGAGCGCCTACAGTACAACCTGGTGTAGGTAGCCTGCACTGTAGTAGTATCAACTTAGTGAATGTGGGAACTTTTCTAAATCTGCCTATGCGGTTTAGAAGTCTGGGACTATCGCATATCGTTTCTGCTGAAGCCCACAAGGCACTGGAGGGGTGAAGGAAGGGATATCATACAGGAAATAGTTATGGAAGCCTGCAGTATCCACCACTACACATTTCCTTATCGGTAAAGTCATCATTTCAGCCATGTTTTCTCTTTAAGGCATCTAGCGTAATCTGTGGTTTGAAATAAAAAACAAAATATACCTAACTACTATACCTAATTGTATCTAACTACTATACTAATATTTTGGAATATAGGTCGACCCCCCCAGACATTGAATCTCTGAAAAAGAAATTTTGTACTATCGCAAAGTATCGCGGCGCACCCTTACCTTGGTAAATACGCGACACGACTAGCTGCACTGTGGTGAGATTTCTTTTATTAGGACACTAATCCTGTGTAGCTAAATGCCATAAGGCCATAAAGTGCTGTCACTCAGACTCGCGCGAGCTTGAGTCCGACGTCTCTTTTTCACTAGTAACGTCCCAGAGTCCTCCATTTCATGCAATGCGTTACTGATGTATTATTTGCGGAAAGATGGAAGTACGCCGCCTCAGTGCAAAGCCCTTCCGCTTCATGGATCGGCGCACCCACGATGGCGATCCCTTGAATTGCACCCTCGTGAGCCCAGAGTCGCGCGTGGTCTCGAGAGCTTTTAGGCAAATGCACTTTGCTCTTACAGGTAGCAACCTTGCACGCAGTCCCCGGACGAATTCGACGTATAGAGTTTTCAGTTCGGGGTGCACTGCAGTCCGTCCACGGATCGATGTTTTCGTTGGGGGGGGGGGGTGCTATAGGATGTTATGCGCTGCTTTTGGCCCCTCCAGTATCAGATGCTTTTTCCTCCGATGCACCCAAATCCCATTGTGTTGCCAGGTTGCCGTGCACTTCGGTATACTTGATTACATCTTTTTATCAAAGCCTATCGTAAACTGCCATCGACTACCTCTCATTTCTGAAGGAAATAGAAAAAGAAAACAGCTGATTGACAGCAGATAATCGAGGCAAAATGGTGCTGCTAGAACATTATAGGCCTTGCCTAGCCTTGCCCAACGGTGCCGCTGCTGATGCTCACGATGGCAATTGAGGCTTTCTACTTCAGCTGCCTATTGTTGCGAGACTTCTTTATTTCTCTCTGCCAATGAATGGTGTGTAAGATGAGGGTCAACTTTTCATTTAGTTTTCTTCTCTTTTTTTCCGAAAAAAATTTTGACCTATATTCTGGCTTACAGTAAATGCATGAGAAAGTAAAAATTATAAAAGTAACTAGATGCATGAAATTGTCTTCGGCTAGTTTTGCTGTGTACAACCACATGTAATTCATGGCAATGCTGGGGTTATATGTGTAAAGTCTGGGCGCATTTGTCAGCCTTGCTATCATAGAGAGCTCCCTATTATGGTGGACCACATAGGTCTTCTTTAAGTCTCCTAAATCTAAGCCACAGCAGTTATTCAAAATAGTTTCTTCCCCATTTAAATGGAGTCGATGTGCTTCAGAATCAAAGCCACTTTCTCGAGCATTGCAGGACAATAGCTTGGCTGCTGAGTAGAACCTCGCCGATTCGTTTTGGGGGGGGAAAAAAATGCAGAAAACAAACGTACGATCCGGGAAAAAGTACGATCTCAATCGAGCAAAACATGACGCTGACAAGTTCGTATAGAGGTGAAAGAGCAAAAGACATTTATTTCTAAAAGAAATTGTAATTTTCTACTGCTGCCTCCGTTGGACAAGGAAAGCTCCTTCTGCACATATTGAAGACCCTTGTCCACATTTTCATTGTTTTCTTTGCAAAAGAAGCTTTGTAAAGCTCCCAGTCCAGCGAGGGCTTCGGCGAAGTGAGCCGGTCGGCGCACGCTTTCGTTCTCGCCACTGTCTACTGGTGCCCCATTCCCCATCTTCTTCGTTGCATCGCCCCCCACCACCTCGGTGACAATCTCGGCTACACTTTGCGGCTTGCAAGTCAGGACTTTGTCGTCTGTTGAGGCAAACTCAGCGAAGAGGGCAACAGCATCATTAGAGAGGAACTCCTCATTGATGTCATCGTCGATGTCGGGACGCGCACTTCACAGAGTCGTCTTCGCTGCGCTCTGTGTCCTCTGATGCAAGCTACTGCCGAAAACCGCACTTCTTGAAACACCTGCTTCCTAAGCACACTGCCATCAAAGTTAACTCCGGAGGTTCGTGATTGTTTAAACTATACTTCAATACCGCCTCCTCTAGCTCCCCGTGGCGGGCTTTGTTGCTTTGTTGCTTTGTTTCTTGCTTTGTTGTGCCACCGAATACCAAGGTGTTCATCTCTATCTCTTTCAGCTTCGACAGCACGGTATTCACAGTAAGCGCTGGCAGTCCAAGTTCATTCATTGTTTTGATTCGCTTCTCCTTAATTGACAAGGGCTTGCGCTTCTTCGAGGCCATGCTAGACGCTACTGTCTCAAATCACGAACAATATACCGTGAGCAAAGTGCAGCCTCGCACAAGGCCTGGCCAGAGAAAACCTAGCGCAGCCTGCATGTTTCTAAACCATTTGGCATCGATGTCAGAGTGGAGAGTGGTCTCCATTGGCTCTGATATCTGTCACGCCGTCCTCGGCGTCGTAAACCGCTTACACCACTGGCTGCGTTGTGACTGACATCATCCATCTCGTCGCTACCGTCGCACAGAGTGCGTGCGCTGTGGAGAACCTCTTCATGGGTAGGCCACGGACAACTATCGCAGAGCGCCAGCAGTGGAAATGTGAGAGAGCTCGCATTCGCCGAGATGATGGTGCAGTACGGGCATGGAAACAGGCCCGGGAGGTCGAGTGCTGGCAGCGACTGTGTGCCGATGATCCGGCAGCCTTGCAGGCCACGCTAAATCGCGAAAGCCACTGTGCTACAGAAAATAACAGGCATTTTTTTAATATAGTTTGAAGACATTGACGGCTCATACGGGTCTCTGTGTGGGAGATGGACGAGAGTTGTACGCAGCAAAGAAACCGCCGTCGTCTCGCTGTCACAGTCTGCCTCTTGGCACTTCACAAGCATGCAAAAGTGTTTTTTTTTGCACATGTCAGTGAGAACTTTCGCCCACGAAATGCACGACTGCAGTTTGCCTGCAATGATGAACGTTGCTGCTGAATAATCGTATTTTCCGAACACGTATCAAGCGGAACGTATCAACACGTAAGCTTTTTGGTGGCATCTTTAGTTTTCGCAATTTCGAGCATAGGAGCTGGGAAATTGTATTAAGCGGGAACGTATCAATGAGGTTCTACTGTACCTCGGCTGGTTATGCGAACTCTGTAGCAAAGCCTCAAAAGCACGTTTACCAGGGAAGCCGTCTTTACATCTTTATATTTAGCAAGTGACCAGTAATGTTTGTCAAAGCATCCCATATTTGCTTGCGTATCGATCTCGCATTGCTTTCTGAAAAAAAGATTAAGTCAGATATAACTTTAAGAGTCAGAGGAAACTCCACCCAGATAACCAAAGCACAACTGGCATTGGCCTCCTTGACTATAATATCTGGAGTTTAAACGTTCTAAAGCCACGATATGATAATGAGAGAGGCTTTAGTGGAGGGCTCCAGAAATTTCAGCCACCTGGGGCTCTTAAACCTACACTGGAATCTAAGTACATGGGTCTCAAACATTTTCACCTCCATCGAAAATGCAGCTGCCACAACTGGCATTCTATCCCACGACCTATGGGTTAGCACTTGCTCACTATAACCACTTAGAAGACCGTTTCCTTCACAACTGCATTGCTGGTAAAATCATTTTAGCATTCTCAGGATATTTAAAGGGACACTAAAGGCAACTATCAGGTCGACGTTGATTGTTGAAATAGCGGTCAGGAAACCTCTTAGTGTTACTTTTGTGCCAAGGAAGGGCCTATTTTGAAATAAAATCACGTTTTAGTAGTCCACATCAGATCAGCGCGCTTCAAATTACTCGCCTCACTGAAGTGGACCGACCGGACCGACTCGCATCACTGTTGCCGTGCACAACATGGCCCGACTTTACTGCGCTAGTAGCGGCAGACTGAAAGCAGTGGGTGCCACAGCAGCAACAACGGCCATCTCGCCATTGGCTCCGAGAGTGCAGACATATTTTGGTTCAACTAGGCCTTGCTAGATGGCAACAGCTGTCCAGTTTGACCACGAAAAAATTGAATTTTTGAACCACTCTTGCCATTCCCCCTTAGTAACGTCCAGCAGTTCTTTTTTCATTAATTGAACAGAAACGATCAAGCAGCATTTTGTTGCATCTCTTGATGCTTGGGAGGTTCTTTATTTATTGCAGCTAGATCGATTACTAGCGATTAGATTAGTTGTAGGCGGTTCGTCTGATGTTTTCAGGATCATTTTGAGAATGTCCTACTGTGGTGCATGTGTTCTTGTGCATTACCTTATTTCTCGGAAAGTAGAGTGCTGTTGTTGATAATATTGTCGTTTTAGGTGTTGTCATATGTGGAGCTGTCACTCTGACATAAATTGTCATTTGACTTTAGTGTCCCTTTAAGCATCTTAGTACAAGAACTACGTGGCACAATCACAAACATTCGTTGGCACCAATCTTCGCTCGCACACTAGCATTTCAATACAGTTTCTTCTCTTCCCTCGTACAGTTGTGGATTGCAATTCGTTGCCAAATAGCATATTCAGTTCCGATGACCTCATTAGTAATATCCAATGCCATGTTTTGAAGGTCTAGCCCTCTTAGTTCTTACCACTTATACTTTCCTTGTTCCTACCGCATGTTTTGATGGCCCTATCTTTCAATGATTTTCATACTAGTTTTTATCCATTTTGTTTGTGTTCACCCATTGTGTCGTTTGTGTATTTAATTTTGCATTGTACGTGAAGTCTATCCTGCTTGAGGTGAAATGTTGGCTTTCAGTATTTCAAATAAAAAATAAATTAATAACATGAGACCATTGAAGCGGGGCGGCCGCCTTGACTGTAAAAACGGTCACCCTGATAAGCCTGAAGTGCCCGCCCATTGTTGCAGCTTGCATTTATCTGTCTCGAGGAAGACATTCCCCGGCTTTTTACAGTTGTAGCTGACTAATGCAAATTATTATGTGGCCTTGAGGCAGTACTTTTATGTGCCAGGTTGTTTTCTGCTGCAGTGGGATTCAAAAGTAGGTGCCACAATGGATATATAGTACTTGGAATAGGATAGTACTTGGAATGGGCCAGTACCATGGGACACAACTAAGTACACAGTAGACTCTCATTAAACTACACGGGAAGGGACCGGAAAAATGTTCCGCTATGCAAGAGTTCTGTTTACTGGGAGGTGAACTGGGTTGCAGCATTCAAGTATGAAACCAGTCACATCAGAGGCACTTGTTTCATTCACTTGTTTCACTTGAGCAGCAGTTTTGTTTAATAGATTTCCGTTTACCGAGAGTCCACTGTATTTTGTTATTCTGCTGTGTCCTGTCAGTAAAACATCAATATTTGTTTGTTCTTTACATACTTACGGTAAAAGCATGATTGCAACGAATTCTCAACGCAGTCTGTTAAAGCCTGTTTAAGCTGTATGCACTGCCACAGCTTCTCGTGCACTTGGCGTGCCGACTAATATATTTCACAGTAACTTTTTTTTTTTTTTTACAGAAAAGCAAGTGAAGAAGTGCACATTCGTTTTTTCGAATTATTTCACGGTCTTTATGGAGTCCTCGAAAAATTGGGAGACCCTTAAAGCTTCGCCTTTAAGAGTTGGGCGCGATAGCGATATTCTGTTTCTAGTGCGTACTTCTCACACTTCGTGCATGAAATCTTTTCCAACTTTTTATGCACCAACTACATGGCCTTAAGGGTGCAGTAACGTGTGTGCCTTTTGTAGTGGGTGTCTGGCTTTAAACTATGAAGTCATTATGATAATCTAATGTACGCTTGTACCACACATTATTACGGCAATATGTAATGTTGCATTGTGAAACATGTGAACGACCTGGGTTCGATCTCTGCTCAGACCCAGAAATTTGTATATTTATTTTATTTGCACCTTTCTCGATTTTCGGGGTGATGCAAAGATGATTTTACACTTACAACTGCTGACACCGACGCCGTAACTTTTGCGAAACGAGCTTTTTAACGCATTAAAATTGGATTGCAACTGTACTGGGTGGGGGAAATGGAAAGCTGTCCTTGTGTACTGCAAACATGAGAAATAGGCTGTGGTGTGCCTGGAGCCGTAGTGGTGGGTAGCCAGCCAGAGTGGTGGGTGACAAAACTACTGCTGCCCACCCGGAGGTGAACTCTGGCGCCCATAGTACCGTTTGCAGTGCAACTTGTGTAGCATTTGAAAAAATGGCGCTCTGTGTTCTGACACAGTTCAGATGATAACCCTTGCAGTGATTGGATTGTGCTATCATTGTGCAGTTGGGGGGCCTCAGGGAATCAAATTTTAATGAGAAAACTAATGGTGTGGTCACTATGCAAGTAAACGTGGTAACTGTTGTCCTAAGGCCCCAACATAATTCGAGTGCCCTTGTTTATTTGGACAGCTCCGCCGTACCACAACTGTGACAATGCACGTAAGTATATAAGGACGAAGGTCAACCGACTCCTTGCAGCGTACTGTTTAATAATTCATACTGTGGCTGGTTCAGTCCCAGAGTAGAACTGAAAAAGCCTTGCTAATCAGTTTTTTATTTGTCTCTTGTACCGCTTCAAAATTAAAAGTAGCAGAATGTTGTACTACCAGGTAGACACTGGCTTTCCACAAACCACTGGACAGGCAGAGCGACTCACAACGGGAAGTCTACAGGCCATGGTGAAGCCAAACTCCCACTTTTCTGGGTCTTTGTTAAGTACGCTTCCAATTTCGGCTGTATTCTTCGAGTGCTGGCTCCGACCGATATTCTGGACATTTATATAAGATCCGAAAATGTCCAAAGAGGAAACATTGGGAGAAACATTATATTGTTATTATCTAGAATATTACAGTGGAATCCCTCTATAAAAGGCCAGCACCAGGGAGCAACTCTTATCTTTTAATTGGGGCTGTCTCTGATAAGCAGAGTATTACGTATGCAAACACCTCTTTCAAGGTGGCCACGCTTAGTGTCTCTTATACCCATTTGTCTGTTACATCGGTGTCTCTTATGAAGTTATGCATGTCACATAACCAGTAAAGATTGATTGATTCACTCTAGGGGACAATATCGATTGCTTCACATAATGGTTGAATTTCGTTGACCCCCAGACACACAGGGCTGGGGAGTGAGCCCGCGAGGTGCGGGCTACCTCTTCGGCAGCGATGTTGTCTCCCAGTTCAACGCCACCAACCACATCGACATGATCTGCCGTGCCCACCAGCTTGTCATGGAAGGTTACAAGTGGCATTTCAACGAGACTGTCCTTACCGTCTGGTCTGCACCAAACTATTGCTACAGGTGACTGAGTAGCATACTGCTTCTTTCGCATCGAACACTTGGTTTCTAAGAAATTCCTAGCTTGGCACAAACTGTAATACAGTTGAATCTCGTTAGCATGAAGTTCTGGATAATGACTTTTTCAGATTACCAACTTTTTCAAAAATCTCCCCTCCAGACGTCTAGTATTGGTTTAAAGGGGTGATGCCACCATATTTGTCGCTCTCGCATTCTTTGCTCGAAGTGTTTATTATAGCTCCAGGAAGCATGATACACACACCAAGATTCCCTTATTCTTGCTAAATAATTTAATATCGTTATATTTATGTAATCAATTCATCATTTTTAAGTTTCAAAGCTTGCATTACTGGCTTATATGCTCTAAGCATAGCAAATTTCAAAACATAATGTATTTTACAGAACTGTCGCTTGTATTTGAAACTGAAATTCTGCTATTATTCAAAGTTGCTTCCACTTTGTTTGAACCAAAAAGAACGACATTTGCTTTAGCCTTACTTCGACTTTCAAAAAATATTGTGCAGGTTAGTTGGGTCATTCTCAGGTTCTCTTATATGCAATATATATATACCATCTAAATTTGATTAGAAATTATTTGAACCTAAAATTTACTATGCACAAGTACACCCTTTTCTTTTTTGCTGCATCTGTTTGTTTCTGCTGTAGGAATCTCCCAAATTTCAAAGTCGCAAGGTTGGCATTAGCATTTGGAGCCCCTTTGGAATTATTTGACATGCACTTAATGCTATCATGTAGACTTGGCCACTGTTTGCTCTGAGGGGTGGTTCTTACTGCTCTGTTCATGGGCGGTTGAAAACATGTTCGGCTGAGTCACAGCGATCTGCACAGACCTGCAGTGATTATTCACAACTTAAAAGTTGTTGTAATACTAAACACATAATTCACACAGAGAGCTCAAATCAGTTTTTACATGACCAATAGGACTTGCTCTATCGGCCCAATGTGTTTGTACAAAATCGCCAGAACCGTTTCAGGGTCCCTTTAAGGAACCCCTGCTAGTTGAAATTTCTGGAGCCCTCTACTGCTGTGTCTCTCGCAGTCGTATCATGGTTTTGATAGATCAAATTCGAGCAATTGTTATAGTGATACAATTGCTCCAAATCATATTTCAGCTAGGGCACCCCTGGATCACACTCTGAAAGTGTTGCAGGCCTTTGATGGACCACTCGAGGCACATAAACACTGAATATGGCACATCTTGGCATTAGGCAAGACTGCTGTGCAGTGTACCGATAGGGCCTCATTTTCAATGCTTTTTGTCTACACTTGCATTTAAAATGGTTTTCTTCCCTCATAGGTGCGGAAATGTGGCTGCCATCTTGGAACTGGACGAGCATTTACAACGAGACTTTACTATATTTGAAGCAGCACCTCAGGTTGGTACCTTTGTGCATCAGATCTTGACATCGTTGCTGTGGCTCGGGACTTGGTTTGGCTGATTGCTTGGAACTTGCAGCCGTGTCTGAAAGGACACGAAAAAGAAACAGTGACCTGATTTATATTGATAAACCGCACTGTGAAAAATCTAATCCCATAAGTTTCATTCTGAGTTTATTGTTAGCAGAGAAAATCAAGGTTGAAGTTTCACTTTTCAATTTTACATCGAAATCTCTGCGTGTGACGTAACAAATTGCAAAATGTATTTTTCGTATTTTCGTGACGTTGGCTCGATGAAATTTTCCGAAACATCGTATGCTTGGTCTATGGCCGCCACAGATGACAATGTATAGGTACTTCATCTTATCAAGTAGAAGCTATGGAGGACCAAGTAGACACCTTCGAAATTAGCTACGTCACTCTGTTTGGTGCAGGAATCTCGCCGTGGTGTCTCCACCTGCATTTTCTTTTCGCGCGTTTTCTCGCTTACCAAGCGTCATGTCACGGTACGAATGGTGTTTTTGGCATGGTGAAATTGCACTTTACAAATGTGCGAGATACTGTTTTGCCTCTTCAGTGCCCCTTTTAACGCTCACGTAGTCGGTTCCTGTGAAAGTCGGAACTGAAGCAGGGGCATTGTGCATGATCTGTTTCACTTGGCAGTGCTATTACAGACTGTCACGCATGCACCGCTAGAGTAGATTACAACCTTACGAATGTGTGCAAGCTCCGCCCACAGAGCTGCAGCATGCTTGCCCATCACTCGGCGAAGAATCATGCTAACTGGTTTCTGTTGAAACCATAAGTGCCTTTCTCAGCAAGTTCAAAGTACTACTCTTATTAAGAGTTAAAGGTTTTTCATTGCCACCTAAAATATTATGTTTACCTATTTTATTTATTTATTTACTGGTACTGCAATCCCCTAGAGGGATTTCAGCAGGTGGGTACAAAAGAGGTAAATATCAGCATATAACACCAGGCAAACAGATGTAACAGCCTATCACATTTCGCATAGGCAGCCAAAGCAAACAAATAACTATCACTTGCATTGAGCATAGATGTCGTAACTTTTCAACAAAATTTACCAGGATGTCTGGGTTTCCAGGTTAAAACCAGTGCTACGAATGTCGTGACTGTATAAGAAAGGGAACTACCCATATCACTCTATATGTGTTTGACATCGTGGATAGGAGTAAGCACCACTGAATGGAGCATTTATGCAAATTTTCTGTGGGACGTATAGGGAAGGCTGTAGGTGGAGCTGGCGCTTCTTAGGCCGTAAGCAACCATAGCTGCAGCAACTGTGCATCCTCGTGTGCACCGCTTTTCTTACTTAAACAAGAATCCCTGGCTCAAAACAAAATGCGATCCTAATTTTAGTAGTATAAACCTTTTTTCAGCAGTGGCACCACATTGGTGAAAACTTTGTAGTTGGCAGAACAGTTTTGCTTAATTTTCTTGGTCATTAGACAAAATTAACCTACTTAAAGAGCCCTTGCAATAAGGGTTCGTTGATCTCTGATCAAAATACTTGTTGCAGTTAATCAGGAAACCGATAAGTCGTGCTAGGAAGACAATCAGCTTCTCCGTTCAATCGGTAAGGTGCAATTTTTTACTGGTAAATGGTGGTCAACAGCCCAGATGTTTGCCTCTTCTTATAAGTGGCACCACTGAGGCATTGTTGTGAGTGTGGAGCATTAAATTTTCGGCAAGCTTAGACAGCCTAACTGTTTTAAAGGTTTCATGTCAAGACTAAATGCTCTCACCAAGCCGCGGCGGCTGCATTTCACTCAGGGCGGGAAAAAAAAAATATTGTGTACTGAATTTCATGAGGCACCTTCAACAATAAAAAATAGGCAGTCTCCAGTCTGCTGTGCCTCCTAATGATATAATGATTATTGTGCTTCAAATCCAGAACATTTGTGTCCTTTTAGCTGAAACCACTTTGAGTAACATGTAAGTGGCCACACTTCTCGCCCGAGTGCTCAATTGAAGACTTGCAATGCTCTCAGGTACCCATTTATGCATGTTTTGTGTTCAGTAGGTACATGAGAAGTAAAGCGATTGTTGCTGAAGTGATGAAAGCTAGAACACCGAGGCTGTCCCAGGCACAACCACAGTGATAGCAGCTTTTGCGTGCCCAGTCACATACAGCAGCGTCACTAGCTTCTAATGAAACTGAGGTCGCAGGTTCGGACCACACCAGGCATCAAAGGACTCTGCTACTGTGTAATTTTTGCACACTCTAGAGCCCGTCTCCAGGCATCTCATGGCAAGAAGCGCTACTGAACCAAACACTGCTCTTCTTTTATGCCAACTATCGGCCAATAACAGCCTATTGTGTGACGCAAAATCTGCTGTAGTCTCCGAAGAGCGCTACAATGGGGCACACGAGGAAGTGGAAACTTCGCACTCTGCTTGACGAACTCTCCTTGTCGCACACTACTGTATGATTTGGTTGAGTTGTTCACAGCAGCTCCTGCTTTTTCTCATATGCGTTTTTTTTATTTTTTGTTTTTTTATCAATCCCAGGGAGTGGTGCACGAACCTTTTGAGACCTCCTTTCTTTATCTTCTCACTTTGCAGGAAAGCAGAGGTATACCAACAAAGAAACCACAGCCAGAGTACTTCCTGTGACAGGCACTCCTTTGCCTCCTCCCCATGCCCCTTTTTGCACACAAGTATTGTACATCCATTTTATATGAGAGCAACTTCCTCTCCCGAGACGAAGACACCAGGTCTCGGTCACATGAACATTTCTTGCAAGATCGACACTTATTGGACTTTTCATACCAGTTCCTTCCGAGATCATTAATGCTGTGTCCATTAATGTTCTACCCTTCTCCGCTGAAGACATCGTGGAAGGCAGCCTTCCAGGACGACGACAACAACAACACAACAAAAAGAAAGATTGTTGTGCCACTTTCATGGCTGGCTTGTGTCGTTCTTTTCATTGCCAGTGCTGCCAACTGAAGTTACATTTTTCATGTGTTAGTTTTTTTTTTTGCCTTAATTTTATTTTCTTCTTAGCCGTTATGCAGCTGCTAGAGCTCATATTTTATCTTGTTTGACTTTTTTTTCTTTATGAAGACCTACAATTACCATACACAGGTTTTGTCTCAGTGTACATAATATAAGGAGTTACATTTTTTTTCTTTTGTGTGTTGTGTTATCAATTCTTTCCTTTACATCGGTTGGTAGTAATTTGTGAACCATACTAGATCATTTCAAAGTCCAGCTGTGTTTCAATAAATGCAAGGGTGTGCCCAATGCAGTTTTATTGACCGTGTACTGTTCTATGCTTCCCGACAGGGCTTGTTGATCGCTGCATGAATAGGCTTGTTGCAGGGGACCAAAGATTTCACCATTCAGACTGATGACCAAGTAAGCTAGGTGGTATTTGTGCTTTAAAGAGGCAGGCATACACAACACGAACACGCGAGCAACGGAAGGGTACAATACATTGTTAGTTTAGGTCTCTACTAAAGTTTTGCGTGTAGTAATGCTCATAACACATGCTTTGTTACATGCTTTTCATTAATGGCCAAGTCACCAATACTTTTGTGAGGGCTGATCTGTGTTTGTAGTGCGCTCCTTACATAATAAAGCTGACCAGAACAGAACATATCTTGGGGATCTACCTGTGATACGCAGTGCTAGGACAGTTAGTGACAGAGCTTCTGTCAAATTCCTTTAACCATCATGGGAAAAGGTTATTTCAGGGCCTTGGAAGAATCATGCGTATTCTGAACATTTTCAGTCCCATTTTTGCACCGAAGTGAAGTAGATAAAAAGCTGCTTTGGAGAGCCGTTGCCAATTAAACTTTACTCGGTGCTGTCTCATCCTCGTAACGCTCTCCTTTCTGTACCCATTATCCATTCCCGAAGCTCAGACAGCAGTTCAGAACTTTGCTTCAGACCAACCTTTTGTCCCACCTACAACAATAAATCTCCCTTGTAGATTTTTCACGAAGTATTTTGATTAGGTAATGGCGTAATCAAATTTGAAGTTTCTGCCACGCCGTGGTGGTCTAGTGGTTAAGGTACTCTGCTGCTGACCCGCAGGTCGTGGGATCGAATCCCGGCTGCGGCGGCTGCATTTTTGATAGAGGCGAAAATACTGTAGGCCTCTGTGCTCAGATTTGGGCGCACGGTTAAAGAACCACAGGTGGTCAAAATTTCCGGAGCCCTCCACTACGGCGTCTCTCACAATCAAATGTTATTTTGAGACGTTAAACCCCTACACATCAAATCGCCAACATTTTAAAGTCGCTATATGTAAGTGCTCTCTGCTTGTCTTTCGACAAAATGTGAGGCTGGAGCCACAGTGGTGAGCATGTGTTAAGCCACAATGGATGCAGTTGGAAAAGTTCACAAATGAACAATGCACTCTTGTGCACTTGGTGAAAGGATTTGCTGCATTGCAGTTATGATATTAGTAGTTTCTTTAGCTGATCTTTAGCTTCTGATCTATTGAAGTGTAGTTGCACATAGCTACAGCAATGCGCTTTGCAAAAGCTGCATGATTTGCACCAATGTGAACGTTGCTTGATTTCTGCATGTGTCCTGACATCAGAATATGTTAGCTAAAGTTTACAAACTAAGAGCATGTTGTAATGCCGGGATGCTATTCTGGGCTCTGGCCAATTCCGTCCATATTGTCAAATTTTGTAATGGCGACATTTTAAGCCAATCAGAGGGGTCGTAGCAGCTCACTTGGCCAATTAGCATCGATCAATGACTGAATCTGACAACATAGCGGAATTCGACAATGTCCAGAATAGCACCCCAGGTGAATTTTCTTGTGCTTGTCATTGAATAGTAACAGACATTGAAATAGCAGCAGCATTCTTTTAGGTGATGGCACGCTTTGTGTCAAACTCACGTGAAAGCTGGTTTACCAAACTGTTCGACATGCTCTTGATGTCGTGAGCTGCCATATCCCAGATGCACTGGTCGTTAGCTGGAGTTGCTTGCTCATTACGAGTTGCAGTATGGCATGTGATTATGTCATGTAAGCTTAATTTCAGCCATTGCTCTTGGTAATTAAGAGGTGCATGTGCCAAGTTGCTGTTATTGTGAGTTCGCTCCTTTCTGTTTGCCATATTGTACAAGTGGTATAACAGCTAGCAGTTCCTAATCGATGTACATGTTTCCTTAATCTGCCACTGCTCACCCTCTTTGAAGAGGAAGGGAGAAAAAAAGGCAAAGTTTCTAATCGGTCGCGTTATTCGCACACTGGAAGAATAAAAAAAAAAAAGTGGGGGGGGGGAAGGGAGCTTTGGGTCTTGCATTGGAGCAGAAGATTAGGGGAACGAAAGCCGGAGCTACTCCCCAGGGTGGGTTGCCTCTTCCATACATTGCAGTCTCTAGGATCAAGCGCGTAAGGAGCTTATCCACAGAACATCTATAAGCCACCATATAGCGAAGTGGCTCAAAAGCAAGGGTCGCCGCGCAACTCGTTAATCTATCTCCAGGCGTCTTTGCTGCTTTTGCCAGAGCTTGCGCTGCAAGCCCACAGCTGGCGCGCGCGCATTTGCCGCAGTGCTAAAAAAACACGCAGTTGTATAACTCTGCTACCGACTTCAACATTTTGTCAATTCATAATTCAGTGAAACTATAGAAGAATTACGAATTGTTGCGCCATCTACGCTTACAACTACTACATACCAAGTTCCAACCAACGGCATGGAACAAAAGTGTTTTGTTTATTAAGCGAAAGATGGGGCTACAAGTTGTCGACGCAAAGTTTGTGCGATAGCTCATCGAAGCATCGCCGAAAGACTGGTGGCGCGCTTGCTGCCAGCGTCAGCAGCGGCGGCGTCTTCTCGCCGGCAGACGACGCGGCTGCAGCAGCGGCGGCTGCTCCTGCCTAGAGGGAGCCGCGGGCGCCGCGAGAGGGGCCCGGCGAACGACGCGCGCTTCGTCGAGATTGTAACGTGGTTGCAAACCCCCCTCCCTCTCCCACCACCTTCCTCATCGATGAAAAAAATTCTTCCTTTTCTACGCTTTTCCCGGCATTTTCGATATACGTGAGCCGTGTTTCGGGACGATCGTGCGGGACATCGAGTGGAATTAAAATGTGACAGCGTCTGCCGACATGGAGCGTCTCCTCAAGCGCCTGCCGACGGACAGACCCGGTGGTGGTAATGCCGTCTGCGGACCTGGCCAGGAATGGCGCTTTTTTTGTGCATCGCGAGTGGTTTCTCTTCGAGCGCTACGAATGATTAAAAGCAGGCCGGAGGTGATTAGGCCTACCGCTTCGGCTCGCCAACTCATCTGTCAGCGTGCGAAGTCTCCGACCGTCTCCATGGTGAAAAAACGGTGCCGAAACGAGAGGTGAACGGCGGCGGGTTCCAACGCGAGCTCGTGCCTCGTCGCAGGAGAGCAGCAAGAGACGCTTGTTGTCTTTATTTTTTTTTCAACTCGCCTCAAAAGAAACCGACCCCAGCCCTGCTCATCACCGCCGCTGGCCGCCACCGACGAATTGACGCTCTCGATCTTCGAACAGGTGAGTCCCACGAGCCAGCACACCTTTTTGCTATTTTTGATCGCGTTATCGCCCCCCACCCCCCTTGCCTGTGCGAAGAGTTTAGCGCCTCTCAGGCAAGTCCATCAGGCTGCAGCCTCTCCTTCTTTTACCTCTATTTCTGACACGAGTCCGGTGTATCCCCTTGGAAACGGACCAATCCTCCTCGATGCGATTAAAGAAAGAAAGAAAAAATAGATCGGCGCGTGTCGTTGACTTTGCCGGTGAGGGAGTACTCTGCGTTTCACGAGCCCAAGCGGCACGAGCGCGGGCATAGCGACGCGGAGAGAGAGAGAAGAAAAAAATTTTTTTAATTATCGCACTCGGCCATTTTTCCTCCGCTCCCCCAAGTTCGAGTCGTTTCGTATCGTAGTGGTTCCCGAGAGAAGAGGCGAGCTTCAAGAGCGCGCACCGGGTTTCCGATGTAGGAAGTCTGCTCCTCCAAGACGCGAGAATAATACCAAGTAGGTCAGACAGCCGACCGGCAGCGGCAAGCGCGAGAGAGCGAACGCGAAAGAGAGAAAAAAAAACTCGAAAAAAAAAAAAACCAGCCAGCCGGCTGGCTTTCTTGTTGTTTATGCCGCCGCCAAGCTTTGCTGTGATCTTTTTTTAGTGCCCTTTTTCGCGCTGCCATTGAGCGCTCAGACGGCGGGGGGCGAGGGAAAAGCGAAGCAGCAATCGCACAAAGATAACAACCCTAAACACTTCTCTCTCTCGCCGTCGCCGCCAATGCCGCGTCGCCCGACGCCGTTGCGACGTCGTTTGATATTTAAAAACTGCCTTTTTTTTTTTTCGAAGTTGCCGAAGGTCTAGGCGGTGCTATTTGGTAATGAGACGATGTGATGCCGATTTCCGATTGTTCGAGTATCTGTGTGTCTTTCTTGCCCCTTTGTGCGCAGCGCTACTGGTTGTGTCCTGCTCGCTTTTTTTTTTCTTCTTTATCGCGTTGTTGGGGGGTGTCTTTTCGCGATGTTTTTGCCGGAACTGCCGATAAAAGGTAGCTGGCCGCTGCGCTCTGCTGGCGTGGAACGTCGCCACCCGAGCACAATCAGGCGTAATCGAACGTGCCGAGCGGGCTTCTTGCGTTTCATCGTGCTCGCATTGAGCCAGCGCGGACAACTGCAGCAACGACTAAGCCTAAAACAGTTAGGCCTAAATGTGAAGCCTAATTTTTTTTTTCTTTTTTTTTTCAATTTTCCCCTCTTTGATGGTCGTCGAAAGGGTTTGAAAGCGACATTGCGGAAACCGACGCCCGCTCATCCGAGTTGTTTCGTTCATGGTTATTGTCGCGTACGGCACGCACGAAATAACTGCTGTTTGTCTTGATTGGCTGCGTTGTTTACTTCTTTTTTTTTATTATTATTGAACATCGAACGGCTCGTGCGGGGGTCACTTTGTGAAGCCAGCGTCGTCCTCATTAAGTGCATTCGCAATGCCACGTGTGTACGAGCCGTAATGTGTGGGGTCGCGAACTTAGCGATGAGTGATTTAAAATGACGACTTTTTATTGTTGCTGTCGGTTGCGTTCTTCGGAAAGGTCTAGGACATCGCACATGCCGATAACCGTTTCTCGTGTATGTTGGTTGTCAGGTTGCCCCCCCCCCCCCCTCCTGTTTTTTCTTTTTTGAACTGGTTGGCGAGGCGTGGTAGCCACGTAATATGTCGTATTGAGTTCAACACTGTATCACTTATGTAGCTTTTGATTATACTCTTCGGGACAGTTTCGTTTTTCGTGTGCGTTAGATGTGCGTGCGCGTGTTTTGACGATATCTGTATTTAAACAGCCGTACATTGGCTGTCGCACTACGCCGCGCCGTCCTTGCCACATGGTCGACATCCCTCCCTCCCTTCTTTTTTTTTTACTTTCTTTTACCATATTGATGTCACACTGCTGATCGTGATCAAGCCTGATCGTTAACGAATTTCTCCACATGATTGGCTCCCTCATGCAGCTTGCGCAACGTTCGCACTATGATCAAGGCATTCAGTCCGAATCCTATCGTGATAGTAAGACAGCACGTAACACCGTTATGACAAATGCCACACGTGTGCTTTCTAACGCTGTTGGGGCCATTGTGAAGTGAGTTAGGCTCAGGCGACACTGAAATCGCGATTTGGGAGCCAGATCGCGATAGTTGTGATACCGATTGTGTATGACCGCGATCAGAAGTATCCGTGTGATTTAACACCGGCATAACATATCTTCGCTATCGCGACTTCCATTAATCGTCTTGCGCCTATCACGATTCTCCCGCTGTTGCTTCTTTCAATGCTTGTTCGCAGCTAGCGTGCGTGCTGCCAACTGATCCGTGTAATGAGTTTCTCAACGAGCAAAGCAAACCACCACTTACTTTTGTTACGCGCTCCTGTCCGGTAGTGCCAGTCCCCCCCCTCCCTACTCGTCCTCTGGTCCTTGACCCGTTGAACCGCCCGCGGCATTTTCTTTTTCTTTTTTTTTTTTTTTTGCACCTCATACACGCGCCGCATATGCCTTCTCTGTAGGGGAGTACGCGCGATTTATACATATACCGCTGGGTTACGATATGTTTTTTTTTTTTTTTTTTGGAAAAAGCGCTCGACATTCTGGTTCGTCGATATTTTGGTCTCTTGGCTCGCTGGCACATTTGTAAAGGCAGTAAAACTTGAACGCAAGTTCAGTAACTGGGTGCAATTAGTATATCCGAGTTGAGCTTCCGCGCGTACTCGTTTATAAGCAGGGATGGCTAATTCTGGCTACCTTGTTGCTCGTGGTCATGACGTAGTCAGGAGCGGGTTTACACTCTCGCGAATTGTTTTAAATCTTGCATGTGTATGTAGTCGAACGTAGTTTTACCGTATCTGAAGTGGACCGCTGAAGATGTATGTGTAATTTGGTACAAGGCGATTTGGCAACCGTTCGCACGTAGTAATTCGTTATATTCGAGTTCGAGCTTATATCTATGCTCGAACATGCATAGAGAGTGGTCGACCCCCCTCCCCCCCCCCGCCATTCGTAAAACTTTCTGTCTACGTCTCTGCTCGTGCTGGTTAACCAACAGCAACTGTCTTGCTAGTGTTGTTTGAAGAGTGGATTACTGTCGGCTCGCCGCTTTGGTGAAAGCTACGTAGTGTTCGTGCAATCTCAAACACACAATTTCGCTTTCCAGGTTTTTTGATGACTGATGCAGCGTTAGAACGCCTCGAGTGCTCAGGACGAGCGCTCGTTAGCCTAGCGCTTTCTACGGAGCGCTCGTCCCGTGCCCTCCGTTCTGCGGCTTCCGTGTTTCGGCGCCGCATCAGTCATACAAGCATTCCAGCTTCCCCATCTTTCCATTTTACAGCTTTGTTTCGTTTCTTCGCATAAGCGAACGACGTCGTTCGTGTTGTTTCAGACCGGCGGGCAGTCGTTTATTGTGTACACACACACACAACCACACACGCGCGCACGCCAAGTTCACGGCGGCGGCAGCAGACAGCTTCACGCGTTCCACTCTGTCGGAGATTCCGCCTTCTCTCTCTCTTCATAACTCTACCCAGTCGCTCTATATGTTTCCATTAAACTTTTTTTTTTTTCGCTTTGTTTACGTCGCTGCCGTCGCCGCGTCTGGCTCTCCGTCGCGGTGCTGTAGCATTTTGCTTGAAGCGCAGCGCCGCCGCTGCTTATGCCGAGACCTCCTCGAGTGATCCTCTCTCTCTCTCTCTCTCCACATAATTTGGTGCTTGTTTTTTGCGTACGACGACGGTGCTTCCTTCTCTCTTTCTTTCGTGTTTTTTTTTCTCTCTTGCTCTCTCCGTCTGCCGCTCCCTCTTCTCCGGCTCTGTCTGGAAACGCGACTAGTCTTCTCTGCTCCGGCGAGAAATATTTTTCTTTTTTGTTTCTATTTTGCATCTTTCTTGCTTTATGGGGCTTGTTCGGCGACGAAACAGTGGCGCCGCCGTCGACGGCGCGGAGCGGTACTGAACGTACAGTACGTCTCGCGCTGGAATCGAGATAGCGTGCTTCCTCACTAGGCTCTAGAGGGGAAAAAAAAGTGTGAGAGAGAGAGAAAAAAAAAAAACGATGATTTCGTGAAACGGGCTCGACAGGTGCAGGCTACCGTTTCCTCGCCAGTTCCGGGTTAAAAGGAAAGTGAAATCAAGGAAGGGTCAACTTAGGTTGTTGTCAATGTGAATGCGAGAGCAAGTATTAACTAATTCATGAAATTTGAGATTCATTACAGTGTTGTAAACGCCAGCACTGCCCAATATTTGCTAGTGCTAACAGGCTAGATTGCTGTGCGTTAATGTGCAGTAGACACTGGCATCATGGTCACGGGGGTCGAGGGTCCATTAATAAGTGCTCTCGCACATGAAATGGTACCGCGAATCATAAGGTGATCAAATGTATCCGAGGGGGGATTTTAAAACTGTTCGATATACGCAGTAATTCGTTATATCCTGGTTCGGCTTATGACTTGCGGGATAAAGGAAACGGACGATGTGGCTGCTGACCCCTTTCTACTAGCGATATAACGTCTATGAGCCGGTATTAGCCGTTTCGATTGCGAAACATTGCAGTGTTGTATTACACAATTGATTAACACCTGGCCTGAACTGGTTAACGCTCCATGGTGTTGGCTTGTTCGTGGAATTACATCGATCACCTGGCCGTTCTAAAGCCGTCGAGTCGCGTCGCAGCGTGAAGTCATCTTGGGAGACATTTTGGTGCTAAAAAAAAAAAGCAGCTGTGCAGCTTTGCTCAAAACTTTATAGTGTGGCTATACTCGGGGACAACTTTCTGTGGAAATGAAGGGAAAGCTACGTGGGCACAGCTACTGCTCCTGTCTGTACTCTTCCGCGGAGCAGTTCGGTGCGGCTCGTGTTTCGAATGACGGACCGTGTTCAAGTAATCCCACTGCATACAATTTGATATGTCTGCTTGCTCTGCCAAACATCAGTGAAATGTGACAGCAGCTTCTTCGGTGAGTCGTCGGATATAGCTGGAGGGTGACGCGCGCTCACTT